CTGGGAACAAATCTTTAATCCACACACTTCAGATAGAGCCCTAATAACCAGAATATACAAAGAACTAAAAAAATTAGACAATAAGATAACAAATAACGCACTTGATGTTTTGGCAAACCATTTCACTGTTTACTTGCTCTCTGAACAACAGAGCAACCCTTACAGCTGCCGAGTTCTCTTCTTTTGTTCAGTTCTACAACTCCCTATATACTCCAAAAAAGTATATTTACAAAATATATCCAAAATCAACACTGTGACTCCAAGATAAGAGCATGCCTGATGCAATGGAAGTCCCTGAGCTGGTCCTATTGCCTTACATGTTTTAAAGGTTTGTAAAAAGTTTTAAATTTTATTAACATGCCAAATTTAACCTAGATATCTTTCCTTACTTTAGGTCCAATACATACAACTCTCTATACATTGGTTTCTTTTCACTAATCAATATATATCTCAAATTTCACATGTCCAAAATAAACTGTAGACACAACCATCAACCTCCACACACATATATACAAACTTTCATCTCCTCCCCCCACACACACAAAAAAAAAAGAAAAGAAAAGAAAAAGCTTTATCCTATGGAATTGATCAGGCCAGAAATCCTAAGTGTTATCATGGCTTCCTGCCATTACTATATCCAAAAAATATATATTTTTGATTCTAGTTTTGAATTACAGCAATAACTGATACTGCCACACAAATTGAGGTTGATCTAAATATAACCTACATAACAAGAATATAAATGTTTCATTGTGTACAATGAAATTTTGGCCAAATGTTTCAGATTTTTTAAAGGAACCTCTGATGGTTCAGAACACATATGAAGCCATCTGAGTTTTGCCTGCAAAACATTTGGGCAGCAGTAAAAATAAATGACTTTCTATGTTTAGTCAAAACTGAAAATTTATTTCAAATTGAAAGCCAGTCTTCTACATAAAAGAAGTAAAAGAAAAACAATATGAGGAAAAAATTATCAAGAGAATAAAAAAAGTTCAGCATGTAAAGTGAAAAGAAGAATTAGGCTGATGCAGAAGAGAGCATGATGTGTAGACCTGGGTTGGAATCTGAGCTCATCAGTAGTGCTCTAGAGTAAGTATTCAGCTCTAATCTGCAGTTCTGAGAGTTGTAAGGGAAACTAATTATATTTGCCTCAGAAGCCAATGGTGGAAACTTAAAAGATATCTTTCAAGAGTTCCTCAATATATAATAGCCACTAAAATTATTAACAGGTTATTTAAGTAAATTTTCAAGTTGGAATTTAAGACTTACTGTTTCTCTTCAAACTGAAAAAAATATTACCTGTAAACCTAAAAGCTCAATATGAGAAAACATTAACAAGTAGTGGGAGTGGACAAAAGGTTTTTCTCCCTGGACAAAAATCTCTCACTCCTGTAAGTGTCTGTGAACTGACTGAGGAAGTTCTAGCATTATAAAAATATCTTGAAGGTGAGATACTCAAGAACACTTTGAAATAATGCTTAACTAATTGCAAAGTGACTATTCTGTAATAGATTGCCACTAATTAGAAAAAAGTGAATAAAACTGATTGCCACTAATTAGAAGTAAGTAAAACATATAAGATAAAAGAATAAAGAGAAATAAGTAGTGCTTACTAATTCAT